GCTTCAACATGCCTCCTATATGCCATAAATCACAGCATCTAATGTATAGCATAACATTGTACATAATAGTCATCTCTCATTACCAAAGTGATCAAACCTGTAAACTGGTTTGTATTCATGTAACCTTTGTTGCATGAAATATATTATTATTATTATTATTATTATTATAAGTCGATGAAGATGATATCCGAAAGCATCCTTTCGTCTCTAAACCTGACCCAACTTTCTCTGACCGTCGGAAGGTTCGCTAAGCAGGAGAACCCCAGGCTCAGATTTATTGTTTGAGGGTAGAAGGCTGTGAGTCTGCAAAAGGCACGTTGCGAGCGAGATAACAGTAGCGCTGTCGAGGTGAACTCTAATGAATTTCTTGATTTCACTTTTCAGGATTTTTTTACTGCAACACTAGACCGTCTAGTTGACCGGGTGCCTCCAGCTTAGCGAGTCCAGTTAAACTGTGAAGTTGAGCATCAATGTTGAACCCTGTCAAACCCTGGACTATTGGTTTTGGGGGGCGTGTGACGCTACAGTTGCTCCTAAATCTTTATATTAAATGTACAATGCTGAGGAATCGAAGCACATATTTCAGTTATCTGATTGACTGACACCGATTCAATTATACTTTCAAGCATGTTAAACGTTTGCCAAGTTTTAAAAATATTATAAACCCTATCAGTCCTTCAACCTTTATGGAACGTGTAGTACATGTAGAGGGCAGCTCAACAAATCTTTAGTTCTTTCAACAGACTGGCCACTAACTACTAATAGTTGCATCACTATATGCAGAGCGATTGCACCTAATGTTTAACCAATGCTCCTTAACTCCTTGTCAGATAAACAGATAAACAAAGTTACGTATATTATGGTGCTTACCAACAACACAAAAAGAAAAGATGTCGAATTAGACAAGAAAACGACATATAAATATACACTAAACAATGGAAGTCATAAAGAGAAATGTTAAATCAGCAAACAAAATTCTCTTTTTGACGAATTGAGATATAGATCTTTGGAATGTTGAGAGTGGGAATTATGAAGAGTAAATGCATCCTCACCACTGTGGCTGATATTCAGCGATATCCACTGACACAAACTAACTAATGAAATCAAAGTAGAACCTCGAACACAGGTGTATCAGTTCATTGTTACACTTCACAGCAGTATACAAAAGCAAGTGGACAGAAAAAGATTGATACCACAGATGAAGTAGTGTAAGAGACTAAACAATCTAAAGATAAGGGTCAGTGCCAACACTCAAGCTTTAGAAGATATCAAGGAGTGAATACATCCGCATCATTGTGACCGATTCTGAGCAATGTCATCAATCACTGGTCACTTTCGTCTACATTTCTCGATACGGCTCAGACACACGATCATTGACTTCATCAATTAGTGCAGTCTTCGTTTGACCAACCTGGATCCCCTATAAACCTTGTCAAACTTCCCGTAGCATGGCACTTCGAAGTAGACCGTGACTCGGGAAGCGGAGTACGTGTCCAAGCCATCTCAGTCAGGTAAGGTTCAAAGCTCATCAATCGATTTGCCTAGTACTCTTCCCCTGACCTCAACATCGCTCCCACGATGATTCAGTCAAACGCGAGCAATTCTACGGAGATATCTATAATCAAAACCCTGTAATCGCTTGATGCTTCCTACTTTCACCTGCCGTGTCTCGCAGCCGTACAACAGGACACATTGGACTGCAGAGAAGTATGCTCGTCCTTTGATAGATAGTCGGATATTTCGCATATTGGGAAATGCCAACCGCACCTTCAGAAACAGCTGAGATTTTGTCAGCAACCACCCCGTCCGGGCTGATACATTTCCCCCTATCATTAAGCTAAGAGTACTTGCAGCAGACCTATCCCACACCATCATCTTACATTTGACAGATGCCACGACAAAGTATACCAAACGTACTCAGATTTCTGCTCAATGCATTCAGAAGACCCTGGATTGCGTCACCGTCTTCACCTAGCACGACAATATCGTCTGCATACTCCAAGTCAGCTAGGTGCCCTCAATGGAGTTGGTCGAATCCTGTGAAGTCAGACATGTCTAGGGTTATGTCCATTAGTACGTCTATAACGAAGTTCAGTAGGAATGGTGGCAGTGGACATTCCTGGCGAAAACCACTAGCTGTCGTCAATTCATATGAAAACTGCATAAGCCCTCACACGACTGCGTGAGTTCAAGCAGAGAGCTTTAATTAGCATCATATACTCCTTTCACAGTCAGACACTGCCATAACACCTCACAGTCGATAGAGCCGAATGCCTTCAGATCAGGAAATATGGCAAGTGTCGGTCACTGTTAGGTACGCCTGTGTTCCGAAACCTCTCTGGTTTCTTCGAATTTACTTTCCTCATGCATTGGATAACTATGGATCCTAAAACTGAAACATGTTGGTCCAACTGATTCTCTCTTGGTTGTCATAGGAAGAATTCTCTCCTTTCTTATTGACTAGAGTGATCGTTGAAATACACCAGTTCGATGGCAATACCTCTGATTTCCATACGTCACCTAGTACCTCAGTTACTTTACTCAGTAATTTCCTACCTCCATCCTTGGAAACTTTAGATGGCAAATCGTCAGTTCCTGCTGCTTTGCACCGCTTCAGGCTCACAACGGCCTCCTCAACTTCAAGAAAAGTTAAAGGACTAACATCTAGGTCCTACTTAGGTTCGGGTTGAGTGTTGCGCACCTGAAGCGTTGAAATGGACCTGTAGGACTGCGCTACAAAGTGTTCTGCCCAACGTTCTGGCCACGTGTTCTGAAACGTCAGTGTCCCGTCCTTTTCGGTGGTGGCTTTACAAATGGTTGTTTTCTTCTTCCCGGTGGTATCTTTAGTGAGCCTAAGTAATGTACCATGTTATCTGGCGCTGGTGCCTTCACCACCTCTCTTGCTTTCGCCACCGTTGTGAAGACTCTTGGTCAACCCACATTTAAGTTGCTTTCGCTCTTCATTGTGGTCAGAGCCAGCTGGAGTCAGTCTTCTCGCATCAGTCATTTCGGATGATGTCACGGAAATCCATTGACATTTGCCAATCTTCTGGTGTAGGTTAACAACTGTTTTTACAGTTGTTTCTATGCCAGGCTTTTCCAGGATGAGCATTGCTGGCACTTCCAGACAAACACTTAGGTGAATCCTTCCTAAATACTTATTTGGCGTCCTCATCTTCCAGTCGATCCTAGACAGGTTTCCCTGTCGCCTGTTTTCTGCGATCAGGAAGGCACAGACATACACAAACCCGTACTAACGTGTGACCGGAGTCCAAACAGCTACTCCAGATAGCAGCAATCCTCCAACGATGGCTTACAGTAATGCGTGTAAATCGTTGGTTTGATGTTGGCGGACGTCTTGTGAAACAGTACCTCTCCTTAAGCTTATGGTTGATGCTGCTCAGAAACATGATTGTTGAAACAAAATGCAGCAGACGATCGCCGTTGTCGGTTAGTTGGCATGGGATTCCTTAAATACCACCAGGATGCCTTTCTGACTGGTTCAGCTTCCCTACTTGGGTGTTAAAGTCACTTGCCATAATGGCTACATCTAACGTTTTCGTTTCCGTAGCAGAGTTGATAGCTTCTCATAGAATTCATCCTTTGCATCATCCGAACTAGTCGGTGGGTGCTTAGGCGGAGATTACGCATAGGCATCGGCTAGTCTCACGATCCTCTCTAGTTCTTACAGATGCCTTTAGCTGAACAGCATACAGACGACTGTTGACTGGTATCCAGTCGAGAGGTGCACTTTTGCCCCTAGAATTCAATGGTAAACCCACACCATCTAGGCCACCAGAGTTAGCCACAGGGTCTCCGGATACTCGAAGGGCGAATTTCAAAGATTCACCACAATGGTCAGGTGATGTCAACTTAATAACCACATTCGGGTCCTGTATACGTGTTTTAGAGATACAGCATATATCCATGGCTAGAGATTTCAGAGTTTTGGCGACCGATGCTTGCTGTCTGATTTGGCATAGAGTTTGGAAGTTGAAATCGACGACGGCCTTAGAAGACAAAGAATGCGGTTCCGATGACTTTCACCATTGGCAACGGTCACATAATGAGAGGCTGGGTTAGGCGTAAGAGGCCCAATATTAGTATCAGGAAACGAAGACAGAGAAAAAAGTTGGGGAAGATAGGTTATGTTTCATTGGGTCTTGTGTACTGCTGGACGCATGAGGGTGGCTGACACTTTCCGGTTGCCCACACCAAGGAAGGCTATATCTTCTAGAGGTACCTGAAAGATGAAATCTGTGACCGCAGAGCCCGCGGGACATCTGCTTGGGGCCTGTCACACACAGCCTTTCCCAGGATGTTATTTTGAGGTTTGATTTTTCTAACATCTGATAGAGAGAACCCATATCACCGCACCGGAAGACCATGGAGGATGATGGAGTGCGCTACTTTTGGAGCCGACATTTTTGAACCTCCTCTATCCCAAAAGGAAGGCAGCATCAGCGTGGCACTCCTGGTCATCCAAAGGAAACACCTTGCTGCTATCACACCCCATCTACCTAGTAGGAGTACGACTTCGCCCTCAGACCCCCATCACAACGGTAACTGCTTCTCTTTTTATCACTACGCGAAAAACCTTTATGGCATGGTAGGACCTTAAGAAAACAAGCGTTCCAACAGAATAGTTCTTGGGTCATCATGATATGCAAGCCCGACTACCACGTCAAGGTAGTAGTTATCAGTCAGGATTTCGCTGATCGCGAGTATGAGCTAGTTCCATCTATAATCAGTGATATTATTAAGAATAACAGTAAAGTCTTGGCTACGCACAGTATACTAGACTTCCACTTCCAATATGAAGTACCTATTTCAGATATAATATCATGAACAATATTATGGCATCGCACACTAGGAACAGTTCAAAAACTGACATCATTTGGGAATAAGATTATTTTTGCACTTACGAAGTACTAAAACTCCAGTAAACCGAATGGAAACAGTGACTTATTTGAACTTGGAAAGTCAGAGTATATCTTATGCCAAGATAATGGATTTATTTTAACAAACAAATATGCTAGCTTATGAAGCAACAACTATTATTTGCAGCATCCTGATACTACTTGACGACACAAACCTCAATAAATGTAGTGAGTTTGAAACCTGTGTGTTACTAGATGGGAATTAGAAATTGACAGTTGGTAAGAATATACAAAGAATTGACCTGAAATATTTGCCTCATAATTGGGTTCATTCCAAACCCACGACATAACAGTTAGTACAAGGAAATTTACTCTGATGAAAACGTTTGAACCAAATAAAAAATCAAATTGGATTATAAAACATACTATTACTGATCAAAATATAGTAAGAATAATAAAGTTAATAACTTCAAACGAATTGAAAGCCTGTACATCAGTTAGCTTCTTTGCACGACAACACCGTGACTGTGAATTTACCTATGTAAATGTGAAGAAAATATGCATAATTCATAATTACATGTGGGTGGTTGTTCACAATCGGCTGCAACAGCACAATTCAAACCAAGACTACACAACGCTCCTTTTAGAAGTCCTGAAGGGAATGCTAAGTGCTGAAAACAGGGGTAAGCGCATAATCAGACTTACTTTAGGGATTTCTGGAATACTTTCCGGGATACCTTCGAATTTCAGTAAAGGTTGAAAATCATGAACTGTGAGAACATAAACATCCTGAACTGTCAATTACTAACTATAAACACTTACCTGATAATTTGTTTTTAGTGTATCAACTTGTTTGTGGTATACTGAAGACCAGAAATCCGTACACACATACTTAACAATGTCTAATTCGTTAATAAACCTGGCATGATCTTTTGTAGCCCTTAATAGATAACAATAAGGGAAACAGAAATACAAACTTTTCAATCAATTTCTGACTCACACTGACACCAAGTGATTCGAGAAGTATACTAGAATCCTGCATCTTTGAAGGTTAAAAGGAAATGAAGTTTTCAAAGAGCATACATCACTCGAATTAGTGGTTGAATAGTTGATTACTTCAACCATCAAAGCATCGAAAGCATCAAACGTTGGTACTTGGACATTCTTCATTTGCTAGAGGCAAGAATTATATGGATGTTTTCCTAACAATAGTTTTTACGTAGGCCTACGAAAATCAACAAGAAAATTATGTGAGGAAGGTCCATATGAAGTTATCAGATTACTGATAATCTTAGCATATTTGACAGCATTTGTCTGTTGAGATATCAGTATCAGGATGGAGGTGGAGTTCCAGCCAAAGTTCACAGTTCAGCTTTCAATAACACACAAACTGTTATCATCACCTCCAGATTTACAATGTAAAACCCATAGATCTCAGCCAAAAAGTACCAATACAAATGCGTGCAGATTCGTATATAGAAACAACACAGAGCTATGCAGAATAAAATGAATTCATTTTATTCTGCAACTTCTATTAGCTGAAAAAGCTTGAAATTATGGCGAAAAGTTAGTTGAATAAATAAATCATTAGTGTGACTGATCATTCTATGTACCAAGTAGCATCTCCAGTGGATGTATTAAGAAACCAGATAAGAAAGCAGCTGATAACAGTTCCATCAAAGCAGTATGAGGTTTTGAAGAATATCGGAAACAACCTCTATGAAACCAGTATAAACTTCTTGACTACACTTATTAGTAGGCAGAGTAAAAAGAAACGAGATGTTAAATGAACGAAACGTCAGAAATCCAAATGGTGGGGAAAATTTCAAACTTGTGGATTTTCCGATAATTAAGTTTCGGAAGTGCATGCCTATAATACCTGCATAGATAAGTCGACAGAACTAGGAAATCACCACACCTGTTACATTTGTGCTTTTACTTCGCAAACAAATGTTAATAGGATTTTTGATAGGTGAATCGCATTCACTTAAGGTAGCCGTCACGAATATATGTTTAATCCCTGATCAAAACAAAACGCCACCCTTTTCAGAATATAACCTTTTTTACAGTGACAGAGTGAACGTCACAAAAATAACAACTTTTAGCCACGATTCTTCACTTTTGCAGTACACAGAAGTCCCTTTCATAAATCTGTGTTGTTGGTGTGATCTATCGCATTTCGGCCTTTCAGATAGATAACGTTTTTACTGGAGAAAATCAGTAATTGAAGCAGGAGCAATCGTTACCTTATTGTAAAATATTTCGGTGGATCTGGTCGGAACGACTTTTACATTAAATAAAAGACTGGATGATATCCGTTTGCTAACGAAAAAGTATTGAAATTAGGTGTCATCAAGTTCACGGGTTACCGTGATTTCTAGAAAGGAAGTCCTTTGACTAGGACAAAAAAATGCTTCACTGAAGACATGCTACAGGCCCTATCACAACCAGAAGTAACCTGTTGTTGAGCTAGTACGTATGAGTCCTAGCCGAAGAACTTCCCATTCCAGAAGTCACGGTATCACATGAACTTGGTGATAATCAATATCAACATTTTTTCGTTAGCAAACATATCATGTCGTGTTTTATCTAAATCCATACTTTGCAGCATGATTTATGACCAAGTTCGGTCGAGCACAAATGTAATGCCCACAAAAACTATGGAGATTACGGAGTATTCTGTCTGCAGATCGATCAGTTTTCAGGAATTGGTTTATCAATGAGACAGAGCAAGTTTTAAAGCATGTTCGGTACTAAATTTACTCCATTTATATCTTGGTTAGTCCCATGTATGATGGATGTCGAATGTGACCTTAGGTAATACAAAAACGGAAACCTTTATAAAACCTTAATTACGAAAGCTAAAGAACATAAAATGCAGCTAGTTTCGGACTCTCAGTGCTACCACAATGGACTGCTATAATAAATCTTTTTAAACTCACAGAAGTGAAAACTTTTCAACATCATTACAGTATGAAGTACCTACAATTAGGCACCGTTCATAACTATCTTAACAAAACTAAGGCCTTACTGCAAAATGTTAATCAAGAGTTCTCACGAGATAGCAATGTTTACATGGGAAGTGTTTCTATTATTAACATTTGTAGAATGAGACCAATGCTCAGTGCAAATGAGATCATCTCACAGCTACACCAGAACTTCAGAACTACTAAGTCCAGCGGCCTAGATAGACCAGATCTATATATGTCTCGGCTGAAATTACCAAGACTGAGGAAAGCCTTTATAAATCTAGTCCATATAACTTTTAACAGACAACTGGTGACTCTGTTCTAAACACTAGGACAGATTCGTAGTCCATCAGAAAAGGAAAATGCTATTAGCAATAGAACAGTAAGGTTTTCGAATAGGTCAATCCCACTTGAATAACTGTATCGTCGTAAGAGAAGAATGAGTCGAAGCCAAGAGAATGGATGTAGTGATAGACATAATATTTATCGATCTCGATAGTCTACGATAAGATCCTTCGCCTTGGTTTTAACAAAAATCCTAGGAAGCACTAGAATTCAAGATAGGGTTAGAAACTACACCAAGGACTAAATTAGGAAGAAGTAACAGATGTGTTGTTCCTGTGGAAACCACTGCTGTATCTCAAGGCAAAAATATGAAACTTTATTTTACTCCATACAGACGGTTGGTTTTTCGGTTTTTATGTTTGCACATGGTGTTGAACTCAGGAGAGACATAAATGATAATGAGGAAAGGCTACTGCTGTAGAATGACTGAAATGTACTGGAAAAGTTACTCAAGAGGTCAACCCTAGATATTAATACCATGCACAGTATAATCACTTAATTTAGTCACGACGATCAACAGAACCACTTGATTAATAATATTTCTATGCCTTAGCGTAAATATGAAGAACAAGGGGTCAAAGTGAGTCTTAAACTCCAAACCAACTGTGAAGTGGTGGGTGCTAGAGGTTTCCCAGTTTTACAATCCTTTCTTGAGGCGTTCTGGAGTTTCAGTCATTACATATCTCGGAATTTAGCTCCAACTCTTCCCATGAAAAACGACTAGATCAGAGGCAGACAGAAAGACAAAACCAACGTAGAACTTCGCACAGAAATACGCCGGTTCAAGTTGCCAAAGTTCACAAAAAGGAAATGGATAGACGAGATAGGTATCCAACTTGAAAAAAGAGCATCTTAAGAAAAGGAATTTGAAAATGGTGAGTGAAAAAATCCAAGTTTCAGAAGTTAAAGAGTGAATACATCTGCGTCATTGTGACCAATTTTCAGCCATGTCGTCAACCATCATCAATCACTGATTTCGATTACCTCGAGGACCCCAGTCAGGTAGTCTACATCTCACCGTACGCCTCAGATAAACAGTAAGTGACTCAATAGATTGGTACCACGTATTGATCTGGCCAACCTGAATCCCCTTCCAATCTAATCCAACTTCTTCTAGCATGCCACATCCGGATAGGTGGTGGTTCAGCATATGTAGTACATGTCCAAGCCATTTCAGTCGATGAAGGTACACAAACTCATCAATCGACTTACCTGTTTTGCCTACTACCCTAAGTCTGAGCTCGATATTGCCAACATGGTGATTCCACCATACACGAGCAATATTACGGACCCACCTGTGGTCAGAAACCTGTAGTTCTTTTGTATCTTCTATTTTTAACGTCTGAGTCTCAGCCACATTACAAGACAGAACAGACTGTAGTGCAGTACAGTCATCATTTGATAGAGTCGGATAAATCGTTAGTTGGCTCCAGAGATAAAACAAGTTGACAAATGCTATCTGTAGCACAGGTGAGATTTTGTATCCAAATAGCTTGTTCGGGCTGATTCAAATCGCCCAGCTTTCCAATACCCCATATCCAAAGTCTATGTTAAGAGCTTACTTATGCCAGTTGATTGTTTCGCGCTGGTTTCTAGGTCTAGCAGGACGGTTATAAGATGAAAAACTGGCATTTTTAGGCATACTGTTTAGTGTAGGGGGGAACCGCTCAATCAGAAGACTAATCCACTGGAAGGCGACTTAGACATAACAATATCTGTTCCCATATTTACTATCCAGTCCAATACAAAGGAGGGTGGTACATACGTTTATTTAATAAGCCTGAATGTATTTGTACAGAGGATACAAAAGTGGAGGCGAAACTGTTGATGGATACATTGGTGTGAAATGTGTATCCATTAAAACTCACTAACGGGTGTAAAATCAGAACAACATAACGACTGATTGATGATAATTCAGTCCCTAAGAAAAATGTGTATATCATATTGCCGTACGGGGGTGAATCAAATGGCCTTATTTTGAAGAAGACTAATATCCGCCGTGAGCACAACAAACTATGCGGTCATGGTCATCTTAGTGTGGGAGACAAGGACCATGCTTCAAAATACACCTAAGCAACGTGAATGAATATATCATGTCCCTACCAATTTACATGTATGCATGGACACACAGGAAGCGATCGCGACTTGAAGTTGAGAATGGTTGGGTACGTGCCAAAGTGGTTACAGAAACAAATGACCTCTACTAGTCTGATGAATGCAGGTAAAAAATGTCTTCTTTTAACCACCGTGAAGAGTGTCCTCACCATATTGTATAGGTATGGTCAAGAACGAATACCTAGACTGACTGAAGCTCTTGCCATTCATGAGTTTGGACCATTTTTATGTATTCAAAAGCAACTGGTGCCAATACTAAATCCACCATAGCAGTATTGATTTCAACATCTTATTTTATTGGTGGTAAGGATCTGACTTTTTTCTATCCTGCCCTCATTGTCTAAATCCTAATTCCATTGGCTCATTTGGAATTTCTGAGTTTTCATATAGGTTATTCGAGTTCATATGTGATCAGACTATTTGAAATATATAGCGTTAATATATCACAAATTTGAGATAATCTTCGTCTTGTTACGCAGCTTAAATTTTTATTAACTTTGGTTTTCAGATTCCTTCTCCTTCACTAAACTTTGTATCCTTTGATATCATTGTTTTCGTAGCCAATTGTTGTATGCATGCTGTTCTGAAGTGCGGTAACCTGAACCGAGGTTATACGCTGATTTTGTCTTAACACAGAGAGGTGAATGTGGTCCCATCTGGGTATTTTTCTGCATGAAGCGCCGGTAGTTTTTAAAAAACCATATCAGGAACTATCTGGAACGTGTTGCTCTTCCACACTGGATAACTATGGAGACAGTTCAGGCTGTTGGTAAGCATGGTTGGGCGACAGGATGTTGAGCTGCAAAATAGGTGATAAATGCTTCAATTTTTAGTCCACAGATCCTCTTGATGATGCCTCTTGCTAGTTCTCTTTGATGATCAACAGATAAGGAATGCTACTCCTAAGGTCAAGCAGCTATCGGTAAACATTGGTTCGTCGTCACGCAGTTTGCCTTAGTGTAGCAAAGACAAGGGCGAGAACCTTCCCGTTATAGCTCACGAATACCAAATCAGAAACTTCCTTGGCATGATGGCTGCGGCCGAGACGAGCTTTAATTTGATCGTCCTTTACCGGTAGGTGGGCGTTAGTTAGAATACAGCCTAGTTTTTATGGCTCTCCGATTGAGCCACAGTGAGTGCCTTAACTGATCTTTTTACTTAGCTCATACGTTTTAATGGCATTCAGCAGGTTTCCAACGAAAGCCCAGCTCCGTGTGCTGCTATCCTGCCCTAAATTGTGATTCTGGGTGTAAAAATCTCCGAATATGATAATTCGGTAGTAGCCCATAGTCAGCACTGTGAATGCTACTTGTAGTAGTTTGTTGCTTCTGTCTCATTACTATTGGAGGGTAGATAGACTTTCCACTATATATGATTGTGAAGTGATAACAGAGCAAGTCTTTAAACCCTATCAGGACAGTATTAGTGGACTAATCCCTTATGAACTGGCCACTCACATACGCAGCTACTCCCCTACCTCCTGACAAAAACTCAGCATGGGACCAAGGTGGGAGCAAAAGGATTTTAGCGCTATCATCTTACCTCTAAGTTCCCTTCACATTGCTGTAAAGGCACTTGAATTCGCTTATCTCAACACAGGATGTTTCTGCAGTGGCTGAGGGTGGAGGGACTGTTTGTTGGTGGCAGTGGAAGGAGCTACTACTGTCTAACCAGTCCTAGTGGAACCAGTCCAGAAGGGTTCCTTCTCAAGACGGTTTCTATAGTCATAGTCAAATCAAGGTTATCAGTCTGATAGTCATTGTAGATTAATGACAGCTTCAGGAAGAAAATGAACTATGGCAACTTTTAGGTTTGCTTTCACAAACACAAACATTTTCGTTGGCGTCTTTAACTTTATACCATACCTGTAGAAAGCCTTTTAGGAGCTCAAGACATCAGAATTTGGCGGCCATCAATCAGGATGAAGCGATAATTGTCAGATGCAGGGGAAGTAGGGACCGATCTTACAGTATATGAGATATCTCACATGTGGCATACTATGCATAACGTCGTAATGGATATATACCCATTATTACTATCGTTTTGCACTGAGCAGTACAAATATGTCAAGTTTTGTGAAGTACTTATTTAGAGGACCATATTTTTAAAATTGCCAGCGACTTCTGAATCGATAATTCCAAAAATTGTCACTAGCAATTTTAATTAACGTCACCTCTTCTTCATACAAAGCACTGCAGCTATGCTGTTGAATTTAACTTTTATTCTTCAAGAACTCTGTTTGTTTCTTCCATACAAACAAAAAGATTCATCATGAGACTAGGCCAAAAAAGTATAGAGAAATGAAGCGACTGGAACTTACTGATGTAGCGGTATTGTTGTAAGTCGCAGTAAATTCAGTGTTGAATATTCGCTTAATAAGCCTGCCTAAATAACTTTGTTTCTTCACTTTCATTTTTTAGTCTTGGAAATCGGTTTTGTGTTTACGGGGAAGTACGATGTAGTGAGTCCAGCCTATCACTTGCTGTAACTCTGGTAAATTTGACAGATAGGGGTGTTGGTGAAATTCTCAGGGAGCTGTGTAGTTTTTTACTGAGTTGGGTTGCAGGCGGCTCCTACAACTGCAGTTACACGAGGAAGTGGTTCCCATGAGTCATAAATGTAGTTATGAAAAATCAGTGAGGGACACACTGTGAGACTGACTTAAGGTTCGTTTGTCACTTTTCCCGTTTGATCGATATTGGACTTTGCATAGCAGCTGATACTAGTTTTCCATTTGTTTAATGTTCATAAAGGGGAAAAATGCAAAACTGGATCATAGAGGCCAAGTTGAACATGGAAAAGTAGGTAGGTTTTTAGCTAAACAACTAAGTTCAAAAGTAGGGTGGGATAAAATACATCAAGGGAAACAGCTTAAGTAAGTGTAGTTTTGGTGATTGCAGTTTTCAAAAACGGCATTTGAAATTGACTTAGTCTCTGTCATTGCAGCTTCATATTCTGCGTGGGTTAACTGTTTAGCTCAGTCGAAGGACAAATAATAGTTGGTGAGTTGTGGCATGAGATTTTAGTAATAGTCCTGGTGCGAACTTTGCAGACGCAGAGGTCAGTCACTAGTTATTCGAACTTGTTGCATGCCCATGAATACGGCGCCAAGAAAAAACACAATGGCTTAGTCGAATGGGGTAGTGTATTTGCCAGGTCTTGCCAAGAAACTGATGCGCTCCAAGCGACTGGCTACGGAGTCGATTACGAGCTGTGCCATATGACGCGACAGCGTGCTGAATGGCGTGAATTCTTGACCGGGTGCCTTCAGCTTTGCGATTCAGTTGAACTATGAAGGCCAGTATCAATGCTGAATCTCGTCAAACCCTAGTCTACTGATTCTGGAGAAGTGTATGACCCTACGAGGTAATTCTCCAAAATCAGTAACTAGCTCAAGGCTTGACGACATACAACCGCGCAGCTTAGTTCTAACGAATTGGTTATGATGAAGGTACAAAGTCAAGCACCCATACCGTCCGAGACATTGTTTCAATGCACCGCATCGCTCGAAAATGGCGCTCCAGGCGGCTAGTTGACTCATCTCGGCATATTGGCGCGGTCCACTGGACAAACGATTTCCGCCTCGCCAAGCCGTTGTATTCTTCTGTGGTCCCACACTTATAGGTTTCCTACATCTATGACGAACAGTTGGTCGGGCTGAATGTCTGTCAAGATCGCTTGAAGACGATTTCTAGTGAGTAAAAGAAGGACTATGAGTGAGTGGTAGCAACAGACAGCACACTGTAGGTGAATGAACCTACTCACTTGACATCTTGCCTTATGAGATGCGTCTACCGATCCCCTGCTCCTCAGTCGAGCACGAAAAGAAGCCGAAAAGCGTGTTTGCCAGTGTCGCAACACTACCACGAGCAGCAAAAATTATACATGATGACTTTGACATGCCAAATATAACGTGGCAACCAACCAGCTATCCAGAGCAACTTGATGAGTCTGTAAGCATCCTTGAAACAGAGGGGTGGTAACAACATGTGGAACATCCTACCAGGTGCAATGGTGTCCTGGACCTAGTCTTCAGAGATGGAACCAAGTGGGTACACAATTTCCAGGTGGCGATCACAATATAGTATATGGGCACTCAACGTATAGCACAAAATTAGCTCAAACGTCAGGAACAGTACTAACTAGAAACTACAAGTTTGCCGAATGGAACAAGCTACAATCGTTTCTGCGCTGCCTAGATTGGAGCCCCTACTTTACCGGCGGCTCGGACAAAGAACTTTGTGGTCTATTTTATGAATATAAGGGTACAGCTCAAGATTGTATTGCTGCGCCGCTCCAATGAAAAAGGAAACAGAGTTGACTTTATACCTACAAAAGTACGCAGCCGCATGCGTAAACACACCAGGAAGTGCTGTGAGTTAAATGGTTTTTCATCACTTGTCATGCTCAAAGACACTTATGACACATTTGAGGAAAAGAGGGTACTAGAAGCCGTCAGACAAGAACGCATTCAATGCAGTAAAACTAGTAATACAGAAACACCAGCGGGACCGATGAAAACCCGGACAAGCAGCCCCAGAAATAGTGCCCCTGGTTTATCCATGGACAACGGGATCCTCTACGATCACCCACCATAAATCCAGGTGCTGTTCAGTTATTATTTTGCTAGCTGCATTGCACACGGGGACAAAACAAATGTCCTTGGTGCACCATCAAATCACTCGATAAGTTCTGTGCTCTTCACCAAACAAAACATTCCCCTTGCCTAAAGCATCACTTTGAACCTCATACAGTGCTGGACCTGATGAAATTCCAGTAATCTTGCTAAAAAGAGGCGGCGAAGATATACCACTGGGTCTCTTGAAGCTCTTGAATACGTCCCGCTCCAGTAGCAAATACCCTGAGAATTGGAAATTATCATAAGTATGTCCCAAGCATGAATGTGGACCAACATCTAGGACAGAAAACTACCGACCCATGAACATCACGCTAGTGGTATCTGGGACTGGAAAAGGTGACGACAAACCAATTACTATCACCAGCAAAACATGGATTCTTGAAAGGCTGGCCATGTGCTACCAGTTATCTTGACTGTCTAGATGAAGTTACAAGCAAGCGTGACCAAGGCCTATTTGTAACTACTCTTTTCTTGGACTTCAAGCAAGCATTCAATAAGGTGCCTCACAAAGGCCTGGCCACCAAGTTGCAATCATATGGTTTCCAGGACCTGTTACTGTTCAGGCTTAGAACATCTTTGGAGGGTCGCTTCCGAGTAGTAAAATTCAGCAGTTGCTACTCCTCTCCTAGACCTATACAAAGTGGTATCGTCCAGGGTAGTGTACCAGGACCGATACTTTTCCTAGTTTATGTAAATGATATCTGCATTTATCCGAAATGGCATACCTTACCTTTTCACAGGCGACTTGAAGATAGTCTACAGCTTTTCTCCGGCAGCACTAACACAGGGTTCCTCTCAAATACAAGAAGATCTGAAGAGAATATTCACATGGAGCGGGACGTGGCAGCTCCCTCTGAAGCCAAATAAAAGTGAAATCCTCCATTTCAATAAATCCCACCCAGATGTAACACTACACTCGGGTGACATCACACTGCAGATATACAACACTGTGAAAGACCTCGGAATCACTTAATCCAGAAGTTTGACTTTTGCGGAGTATGCAGATTCAATAGTTTCCAAAGGCAGAAGACTCATCGGTCTTCTACACAGAAACACTCACACCTGAGGCAAAACTTATACTATACAAGGTTATGGTTCTCTTAATATTAGAGTACTGCACAGTTATCTATGATAACACGAAAGTATCTGATAGAATTCGAGTAGAGAACATTCAACGAAACTTTACTCGGTGCCTACTGATACATAACAAAGGACTTGCATACGAAGCAAGATGCAAAATACTGGGACTAGAATCACTCTGGTTGAGACGCTGTAAGCTCAACTAAACCTTTCTTTTTCGTGTTTTACTTGGAAAATCTAAAACTAACTGTGCTATTACTTTCAAATCAACACTGGCATGTAGTTCGCGTATTAGCTAACATGCCCAAATATCATCGCCGAAAACTTCGATGTAGGTTCTTCATAACGCAATACAGTACGCTGTTGGACAGACTCCTCGCTCATAGGCTAGCATTTCGATCTCTCGGCCAGTTCCAACGATTACTTAGTAAGTTTCCTTATTCAGCGATTCTCACTAGTTCGTTGACGGCCAAATCATAAACGGTGATACCATGTACAATGGTTCTACTGGTACCTAGACCCAAGGGAGACTAACAGCAATGACGAAGGTATACAATGCCGGAAACTATGCGCATAGGTTAAGATGAAATCTAATTTTTAAAAACTGGTCAAGAGAAGACTGGGAGCGGAGTGTGATACGATTTGCGGCAGAGAACTCTGTAGCTACTCTGATATAACCATTTCTTCGTAACCTATCTGATCTCTGGACTTAACACTGATTCCTTGTAATTATGCCCTTAAAACAGTCTCCTCACCCCTGACTGATAAGTGAACTGATTGTTGGTGGATCTTTTTAGCACGTAACATGTTTTATTATTTGTCCTTTGTCATCACTACTCTTATGTAAGTACTCCGCACCACCACGTTGCTTCTACAGCCCTGATGTGGTAGCACTCAACGGGCAACACCGTGACCATCTCTCCCCCGTGGCTGCATAAAGCGTGCTTACCATCATGGCAAAGACCATGGGTTTTATTTAAATGTTTATAACTTCATTAAACTCTTGTATGTGGATTTTCTACACGTAAGCTAATACCTGGTCCAAAATCCTCTATTCTCACCATTACACAGTGATATCCTTGGCTTCTGTCTAGTTTCCACTACTTTCGTATGCACCCTTATCTTTTTCCCTATGAGCTTACCTCTAAACAGTTGGTTTCGGACACTTCTTTACATGACTTTTGTAGTCAGTACAACGAGCTCACCTTTATGTATCATACTTGATATGCTTCTGAGTAATATTTTCGTGCTCCTGTTTCGTATTTCACCTGCCGCTTACTTGTGTCATTCATTTTTCAGGTTTAACTAACCAGTCCTTCATCCGCATGGAATCCTAATAATCGCACTTATCAGTGTGCACTATATCATCAAAATTTTCTGACGGGCACACACAATCTAAGGTCACTGTTGTGCTACTCGCCCTACCTTCAAGGATATTGGAAGATCCAAGCAATAGCCGAATAGCTCCCAGTTTTGATCTGAGCTTGCTTCAGCATAACGAACAATTATGTTGGTGTTTATCTGTTTTATTCTCTGCTGTCTGCCGAGTATTAACTTCCTTTCTGCAGAGGCATCACTTATGTGGCCTGAACAACGTATCTGATGTGTTGCCTGACACCG